CTTGTTAGAGACGATTAAAACCAAGTTTGTTTTAGAGTAATACAGTAGAAACTAAACAATACTCTAAACTTCATAATCACTGTTGCCCACCCAGGTGTGTATTAATGAATCAAGGTACTTGTTAGAGACAATTAAAACCAAGTTTGTTTCAGAGTAATACACTAGAAACTAAACAATACTCTAAACTTCATAATCACTGTTGCCCACCCAGATGTGTATTAATGAATCAAGGTACTTGTTAGAGACAATTAAAACCAAGTTTGTTTCAGAGTAATACACTAGAAACTAAAGAATACTCTAAACTTCATAATCACTGTTGCCCACCCAGATGTGTATTAATGAATCAATATCTATCACATACGTAGTTCTTACTGTGGTAGGCTGTGGACTAGAAGGTCCAACGTTCGAGCAGCGATATTTCTCTGAACACTCTTGTAGTCTTATATGTAAGAGTTTTTAACCCTGAAGACAATCCCGCTTTTATGTTAAGAGTAGACATTGTAGACATTAGTCACGGGCAGTGCTGTAATGTTGTTCTCCTTTTCGTGAGCATTTTAAAATTAGAATGGCTATGTCTGATTCTTTGGGTCTCCGACTTAGAATTTTAAGCACATGTGTTGTATAAGATGTTCTTCAGGCTCAAAATATCACAAATGTTGTCTAGCACACGATATTTCACCTTTATTGTAACCTTCCTGGGTGCATTGTGATGGCTAAATAGTGCGTTCATACAACATTCGTTTTCAGGTGCTTCAAAGTAATAATTATTATTAGTAATTAACTTAAAGTCAGCCTGTTGACTGAAGCATCTTAAAGATGATAGCTAAAGCTCTAACCCAAAAATCGTGAGTTATATATATATTCATTATTTTAACCGATTTCGTAGCTCATCCAACAAATCGTCTATTCCATCAAGAAAAAGGATTATATTTCTTTACTGAGGTAATGAATAATGTTATTTAAAATTACCTCCAAACTTTTCATTCTGATAAATCAATATGTTATTTTATACTTAGGATTTCATGTCAGCATCTAAAGAAGTTAATCATCATATCGAAGTGAAAAATGGCTTTCATTTTAAACCACGTTGTTAAGAATGAAAACTATTTATGGGGATGATAAGATTGCTCTATCTTAAACTTGAATATCATTACACCTTCTCTTGGTGAGATCGAGAGTACATCCTATTTTTTTTTATTCTACTTGCAAAAGATACAGATTCTCTTTCTTCGTGCGCTTGTCTGTTACAATTCATTAATATTTGTACATCACAGAAAATGTGACGGGTGAAATAAAATAAACATTGTTGTTTAAAATATTTGAAATTAATCAAAGATAGTGCTCTTTTAAGAGTGGAATTTATATGAATATAATAATACTGTCTCGAACTAGTGTATTTAAGTGAATAAATATAAAGGCTTGGTTTGGTCTAATATTTCATTGGTGGTAGTGTCCAAGCTTTTACTTGTTGTTAATTAAATGTTTAAATAACTCTATTTATTCAATAATACTGACTGTTGTATGTCCATGTAACTACTTCGCAGGTTGTGGATGAATCTTCACCAGAATTGGTACGGAGGTTCATTGGGTTCTTGGGGAGATACATACAAATTTTCAGTTTTGGATTTTGCTGTTTCTATGGGCGTTTTTGCATTTTATACCACTACTTCGTCCCCTGTCGAGGGATCTTCACCAAATTTGGCATGAAGATTTGTTGGGAACATGCAGAGATACATGCAAATTTGCGGTTTCACATTTTGTGTTTTGCAGTTTTTATGCGTGTTTTGCAGTTTTTTTTAACAATTACATATAAGGGAAGCAACTTTTCATGTCTTAAGATGACCTTTCATTAATCGTGAATTTACATAAGTTCCGTCGTCCAGGGAGGGACGGGTACTCCAGCAAGTTAATAAATAAAATTAAATAATGAATGTATTTTGGAACGTTTCGGCCTTAGGCCTACTTTAGGCAAAGATCATCGGCCTTAGGCCCACTTTAGGCAAAGATCATCGGCCTTAGGCCCACTTTAGGCAAAGATCATCGGTCTTAGGCCCACTTTAGGCAAAGATCATCGGCCTTAGGCCCACTTTAGGCAAAGATCATCGGTCTTAGGCCCACTTTAGGCAAAGATCATCGGTCTTAGGCCCACTTTAGGCAAAGATCAAAATACAAATTTTTCGTTGCCTGAAGTGGGCCTAAGACCGAAACGTTGCAAAATAAATTCATTTAGTAAAAAATTGTAAAATACATTTTTATCTCTTCGTTGTTGAATTTTGTTTACAATCAACCTTGATCCAGAAACAATTTTTAATTCGGTTTTATCATTACTTGTGATCCTAGCTTTAATCATTTTCTATTAACTGTTTTTTTTTAATTATAATAAAATATTTCTCAACAGGTGCTCTACTTGGACGACACGGTGGACTGGGTAGGTGATGGACCACCAAAAGACGGACCAGAATGTGGGTTCCACAATGAAAAGTGTGTTAGTAAGTTAAGTTTTCACGTTCATCAAATTATCTATCAAGTTTCTAGCAAATCGCCAAATTCGTTAATTAGCCAGGTGGTTAGGGCGCTCGACTCGCAATCTGCGGGTCATGGGTTCGAATCTCCCTCACACCAAACATACTCGCCCTTTCAGCTGTGGGGGCGTTATAATGTGACGGTCAATTCCACTATTCATTGGTAAACGAGTAGCCCAAGATTTGGCGGTGGTTGGTGATGACTAGCTGCCTTCCCTCTAGTCTTACACTGCTCAATTAGGGACGGCTAGCGCAGATAGCCCTCGTGTAGCTTTGTGCGAAATTCATAACAAACCATAATCCCTTGTGTTTTAATCAGCAGAAAAAAAAACATTTAATCTATTTTATCACTAACGTTTCACCAGTTTAAGAAATACGGCAACCCGAAATTGGTTTCAAAAATAATTTTACTGTAGATTTTTCCAGTTTAATTATTCTCAAACGAAGAGACTCCTAAAACATTTCGAACAACAACTGTCCTGCTATAGATTATGGACGTATAAGTTTTACACAATATTATTATCTTTTCGAAATTTTCACGTCTAGTGTATAATACCTTAACAGTGGTTTAAGGTAATAATGAGCCACTTAACAATAGTTTAAGGTAATAATGAGCCCCTTAACAATGGTTTAATGTAATAATGAACCACTTAACAATAGTTTAAGGTAATAATGAGCCATTTAACAGTGATTTAAGATAATAATGAGCCACTTAACAGGCTGGTTTAAGATAATAATGAGCCACTTAACAGGCTGGTTTAAGATAATAATGAGCCACTTAACAATGGTTTAAGGTAATAATGAGCCCTTTAACAATGATTTAATGTAATAATGAGCCATTTAACAGTGGTTTAAGACAATAATGAGCCACTTAACAATGGTTTAATGTAATAATGACCCACTGTAATTTTATCTCGTGATAGCTTTAACTTTTAATATTGTTAATTAGGGCTATATAATAGTTTCCTAGTTTAGTCGTCAAATTTTCCACTGTTTTTACTTCCATTTAATATTACATAAAGTAAATTATTTTTATTTTTAATTGCTTTAACTCAGTTGTGTTTTAATTACAGTTTCGACATTCTTACAAGTTATTCTACAATGCCATTTCTAATCTAATTTGTAACTGATTATTAAGTAACTTCAGTTTTTAAAACATTGTTTTCAGGTTTTTAAATTATATGTTTCATGGTGATTTACTGTATATTTGAAATTAAAATAAGTATTAGAAATATTTACTCTATAACTACTAAATATTTCTTTGAAAGCTTCATTTCTAATTGAAGGAGACTGTTATAAAAGTATATTGTTAATTGCCTAATCCAAAATTCAAAATACGTTAAAGAATGAAAAACAATGCATAAAAAAGCGAGGAGAGGCACAATGTTGACTGGGCTCTGTGTCTTATCGAGGAGTTTGCTTGATTGACAAGTTTGTTTTAAATGTTTAAAAAATTACTCTCAAAAAATTAACATAGTATATAAGCTGTAATATTCAACGAAGAGTCAGTGAATAAGGTAGATCAAGTTTGGAGACGGCTTGACTGGGTAGTGAAAGAAACTATATTGTTGATAGGATCCACAAGTGAGTTTACTCTCTCTCCTCTTTGCACCACAGTGGCACAGCGGAATGTCTGCGGACTTATAACGCTCGAATTCGGGTTTTGATACCCGTGGTGAGCAGAGCACAGATAGGCCATCGTGTAGCATTGTGCTTAATTACAAACAAACTGTCCTCTTTTTTTTGTAAGGGTTGCTTTTATTAAATTTGAAATAGTGATTTTATTATATCCTTTATTTTCCATTTTTTTTTAGCTTAGTATATCTGTGGATTTAGGACAAACCTAAGTCTTCTAAGATGATTAAACTTTGTAAGACATTATTGGGTTTATGACCGAAAATGTCGTTAACAGCAAAGGTACCGAAACATATGAAACGATACATTATTAGCTTTATAGGTAGGAACGATAAAACGATATACTCGGATAGCTGTACTAGTTACCGTTTATATCTCTCCCCCCCCCCCCCGACTTGAATAAATAGCTTTTTTTTAAAAGCAGATGTTTATGTTAAAGTGGGCGGATTTTGTCTGTTAGAAGCTGTGGTTAAACGTAACGTGTTAAAAACTAAAACTCTCCACATAAAGTAAAATAATTAATTAATAATTAATGCACTTACGTTTTAAAATAATATGAACTTGTCTGAATGTAAGCGAGTAAGTTGCTTGAAATTCTCGGTAATCACACACGTAAAATCGACTGAAACGAAGTCTTTCAGTCCAGGTTAGCTCCAGAAAGCTTAAACGACTTATCTGTTAAACGTCAAAATCAATTTAGAAACTGTGTAAACGCTAGTAAGTGCGAAAACTGCTCTGCGTCACATTAGAGGAACCAGACATACTTTATAAATCAATTAATTAATTTAAGTATTGATCGAATATGCCCCCCCACCGAGTAAATTCCTATGATTCGGTTTCTATTCAATGACTTAACGTTACGCGAAGTATAAAAAATGTAATTTTCTCAAAGTAATGGTATTAGAATATGATATTAGAACTGAAGATAATTCAGTTAATTATAAGTTTATAAAGTGAAGCATAAGGTAAGGATATCTTATATAATATCATTCGTTATATTTATCCATTGAAAGGATCCGCATAGCTTCTAAAATCCTGTGATGTAGCACTATTCTTATTGTTGCAAATAAGATAATAAATAATTGACAATTTAATTCATAGACGAATTAACAAAATTAAACCAAAATTTTAAGAGCAATCTGAGTGTACTTTATATAAATTCTTTTGGCCTGAGATGCGATGATGGGTTGGACACTCGACTCGCGATCTGAGGGTCGCGGGCTCGAATCCCATCACCAAACCACATTCTAGTCATTGGGGCGTTATAGTGTGACTATCAATTCTACTATTCGTTGGTAAAAAAATAGCCCAAGAGTTGGCGATGGTTGGCGTTCGGTAGCAGCCTCCCCTTTAGTTTGTCATTTCTAAATTAGGACCGGTTAGCGCAGATAGCCCTCGAGTAGCTTCGCGCGAAATTTAACAAACAGACAAAGACATAACATTTTTTTTTTTTGCATGCAGATTGACTTATTACATCTATATCACTACATCTGGTCAACTACGAAGTTGCTGGTGGAGTTACTTTATTGGGAGCCATTTGTTTTGATGTCATATTTTGTGATTTATTAATTGGTTTTCATTAAACTGAAATTAAGACTTGTGTTTTCTCATTAACGTTAAAGAACAATAGATTTATCTTAAATTAAAACAATAACCAATGAACTTGTACTTATTATCAACTACAAGCTTAGTAACTTTTCAAATTGGTTTCACTTTTCTCGTTCTTCAATAGGTTTCGTATGGAGAGCAGTAGCTGGGGGAACAGGTGGAGTGGCTTTGGTCTTGTTGATAATTTTATGCATTGTTTACAGGTTGGTATAATTAGCAATTTTGTAGAAATATTTTAACAGTTAGGTCGTATTTTAACTCAAATATTGTAAAAATACGAATATTTAATCTATTGCACGTTCTACGATGACTTCTTTTATAGTATCAGTTTCACCTTCTGTTAGCATTGGAGAGATTACAGTAATTAGAAGATTAAGTGGATCATCCAAATCGGATTAATTAAGAAGATTTAAAGTCTGAATATCCGTTAAATCCACACACAACCCAATTAGTTGTGCAGCAATATATCATTGTTGAAACTTTATTGTGTTCTCAGTAACAAATGTTTTGTTTCATTGTTAACTGAACCTGCCCTAATTCTTTTTTTATAATAATACGAACACTCGTTTACAAATCGATTAAACTTTAAACTATAGTTACAGCTAAACGCTCTGAAAAGAAAGCAAATTGCCAAAATTAATTTCTCTAATACATTAATGTATATGCATCTTTTTCTGTTAGGTTCTATATGTGTTTTCATACCACAGAACAATTTAAATCGACGAAACAGATTAGTTTATTGGCCTTTTTTTTGTATCCATTCAAACCCTAATTAAAGTTAGTTCGTTCAACGCCACGTGCTTTGTGTTTATAACACGTTCTTTGGAACAAAGAACCTGAAATGAGCCAACAGAAAGGCGTGAATTTCGAGATAACGGCACATTGTTTAAAAGGATTATTACTGTCACAATATACTGGAGCTATGAAGAGATGTCTTGAATACATTCTTAATTGACTAATTTTCTCGCTACAATTGGCCCACTGATACTCTTAGAGTCTTTGCTCACATCATCATTCTTGTCTTGTTTAATAACCTCTATTCATAAAACTTCCTTAAATCTATCATATAAAAAGTGCTATTTAAAATAAACATATTAAAACGCTTCTGGCCATTAAATATAAAATCTGACGTCGACATAGATTATATAATTCCTTTTCTGATACTTTTCTTCATTATAATTCTCATTAAGTGTGTATGTTTTGCATTAATTTAGCATTCAACTAATCAAGATAAAGGGAGAACTAGAGAAAACATAAGTTAATCTCTGATAATTTTATTAAAATTATTCTCAAGCGTTCAACATACTTTCCATCATATTTTTTTTTCAGTCTTCCAGTTTAACCCTGTATGTTAACGAATAATAGCGTTTAAGCTCTTTCGAACTTAATATATTTCGCTAATTTAGTGGCACCTGGTTACCGAAATGAACTAAATCACTAACCAGTTTTAAAATTCTAATAAGCTTGAAATATTTCGCTAATTTAGTGGTACCTGGTTACCGAAATGAATTAAATCACAAACCAGTTTGACACGTTTAATAAGCTTGAAATATTTCGCTAATTTAGTGGCACCTGGTTACCGAAATGAACTAAATCACTAACCAGTTTTACACGTCTAATTAGCTAAATTAGCGAAATATTTCAAGCTTATTAAACGTGTCAAACTGGTTTGTGATTTAATTCATTTCGGTAACCAGGTACCACTAAATTAGCGAAATATTTCAAGCTTATTAGAATTTTAAAACTGGTTAGTGATTTAGTTCATTTCGGTAACCAGGTACCACTAAATTAGCGAAATATTTCAGGCGGTATCTGGTTACTGAAATGAACTAAATCACTAACCAGTTTTACACGTCTAATTAACCTGAAATATTTCGCTAATTTAGTGGTACCTGGTTACCGAAATGAATTAAATCACTAACCAGTTTTACATGTCTAATTAGCCTGAAATATTTCGCTAATTTAGTGGCACCTGGTTACTGAAATTAACTAAATCACTAACCTGTTTTACACGTCTAATAAGCTTGAAATATTTCGTTAATTTAGTGGCACCTGGTTACTGAAGTGAACTAAATCACTAACCAGTTTGACACGTCTAATAAGCTTGAAATATTTCGCTAATTTAGTGGCACCTGGTTACTGAAATGAACTAAATCACTAACCAGTTTGACACGTCTAATAAGCTTGAAATATTTCGCTAATTTAGTGGCACCTGGTTACTGAAATGAACTAAATCACTAACCAGTTTGACACGTCTAATAAGCTTGAAATATTTCGCTAATTTGGTGGTACCTGGTTACCGAAATGAATTAAATCACTAACCAGTTTGACACGTCTAATAAGCTTGAAATATTTCGCTAATTTAGTGGTACCTGGTTACCGAAATGAATTAAATCACTAGCCAGTTTTACACGTCTAATGAACTTAATATGTATTCTTTATGAATTTGTTTCACTTAAATACAAATTCTGTAAAAACACAGTAATGATATTTTTTTGCAGCTTTGGTTAGGCTGGAGTTGATACATTTCAGTAACAAGTTATATTTTTGCATTGCCGAAAAACACAAATATGATTATTGACAGAAGTAACACTAAAAGCACGTTATTTCTAATAATGTAATATTAGGTTTAACAAATCCTCGCCAACAAGAAAGAAAATGTTTTTAGGGGTCCAGCTGTAACGAAACATCGAGAAATAATCTGCAAGTAATCAGCCTGTTAAGAATGAAGTCCCCCCCCCCAAAAAAAAGAAAAAAGAAAATGTAAAATTATTAAAATATTCTGATGGAAAACTAATTATCTAAACTTCTATTTATAAAATGAAGCAAAAATTGGTAAAAAATTAACCCAAGGTGGTTCCTACCGTCTTCATTTCCTTTTTCATTTTTCTTGTTATATCGATACACTTCTTCCTAAGACGTTTGATTGCACAGATGCGCCCCCTATATATGCCAATTTGGGTGTAAATTGTTGAATATCTGAAGTCAGACTCAAGATTGGAACTAAGAGAAACTTGGCTAGTGCGGATGAAAGGATGAACATTCTGTTGGTTAGAAAGGCTCCCATGTATACTTTTTTACCTATTTACTCAGATTGCTAAATTTGCTCGAGTTTTCAGTCACTTCTAACACATGATATTAAACTAAATCACGTCAATATTTAAGCAGATATTACGTCAATGCTTAAGGAGATATTACGTCAATATTTATACAGGTATTACGTCAATGTTTAAGCAGATATTACGTCAATACTTAAGCAGATATTACGTCAATATTTAAGCAGATATTACGTCAATATTTAAGCAGATATCACGTCAATATTTAAGCAGATATTACGTCAATGTTTAAGTAGATATTACGTCAATATTTATACAGATATTACGTCAATGTTTAAGCAGATATTACGTCAATACTTAAGCAGATATTAAGTCAATGTTTAAGCAGATATTACGTCAATATTTATACAGATATTACGTCAATTTTTAAGCAGATATTACGTCAATACTTAAGCAGATATTACGTCAATACGCAGATACGTCAATATTAAGCAGGTATCACGTCAAAATTTAAGCAGATATTACGTCAATGCTTAAGCAGATATGACGTCAATATTTAAGCAGATATCACGTCAATATTCAAGCAGATATTCTACACATTTTAACGAATGCATCTCCTAACAACCTAATTAATTTTATCAAGTTTCAAAATATGAAGCTGTCAAATTTAATAAAAATCATAAAATATCAATATATATTAAAAAAATTAATATGACTGATAAAATTATAATTATTATGTTACAAAATAAGTACGAGATATAAAATACATTTTGATCTCAAAATTAGTGTAGTCTCTTCGAATTAGCACGGATGTTTTTTCATCGGTTATAATCATATTTTATTGAAATTAGTATCGCTGTTATACCTTACTTATATCCAAAAATAACTCAATTGAAGTGGAAAGTAAGAGAAATAAAAATAATATTGAAATTTCTATAAACGTTTGTAAAAATAAATTTGACATAAATTTTAATCAGTTTCTAATTATTTTTTAAAAATAGGAAATAAGAAATGCGTTAAATATCCATATTATTATTTATTGTAAGATTTATGATATGGTTACATTTACTAGAAATTTTCTACACTGTATGTAACGGTATACGAAACTAAAGTTGGTAAAATGATTACACTTTTTTTTAGGCCTAGAAATAATGAATTAGAATCTTGCTTAATCGTAGGTGTGTTTTCCTCGTATTACTATGGCAATGAATAATGGAAGACAAAAGATACATCCCTGACTCGATGTCAGTAATGAATTAATTAAGAGAGATATATATATATATAGAAACAAATCCTGTTGTAAATAATGCTTTTAATTAGTTTCGTATATAATTGTAAATAAAAATAACAAATATTTGCTCTTATCTCTAATTTGACTTCATTATTTTAAACTGGGATTACATATTAGCGCACGTACCCGTGATACTTTACTTCCTGTTGTAGTAGGCGTATACTGATTCACTTGGATATCTTTATAATCAATTTTCCACAGCAAATTATCAAGTTCTCGTTCATATGCCCAGTTCCTGTGTTAGCATGAATAAAGATAGATCTTTTTCGTTGCACAGTTACTTTACGTCTTCTCTGATTTCATCAACTTCTTAAGTTGACTACTGAAGAAACGTTACACAGTTACTTTACGTCTTCTCTGATTTCATCAACTTCTTAAGTTGAATACTGAAGAAACGTTGCACAGTTACTTTACGTCTTCTCTGATTTCATCAACTTCTTAAGTTGACTACTGAAGAAACGTTACACAGTTACTTTACGTCTTCTCTGATTTCATCAACTTCTTAAGTTGACTACTAAAGAAACGTTACACAGTTACTTTACGTCTTCTCTGATTTCATCAACTTCTTATGTTGACTACTAAAGAAACGTTGCACAGTTACTTTACGTCTTCTCTGATTTCATCAACTTCTTAAGAATAGTTATGCAGAGCTTCATATATGGTAAAAAAGTTAAACAGAAATACATAACAAACGTGGTATGATGAGTCGACAAAATCTATAACTACTTCGAGAGTATGATCTGATTTGCAACTACATTAGCGAAAGATTTAAAAGTTAGATATTTTTATTTTTTAATCAATAAACTTAGTATTCCGAAAATTGTTTAATTTCGTAACCTCAGTTTAAGGTAGGTTGTTGGGTTATAACACACGTTGATCAAAGTGTAGATTGAACTGGACCTACCTTGAACTTAGATTTTGATATTAAACAATTTTCGGAATACTAAGTTTACTAATTATACCTGCTATTGTGTGGCTATATAATGTCAAGAACTGAATAGTGGCCAATGATACTTTTTATTCCCTTCACCTATCCACTGTATAGATGTTTCTCATAATGACTATAAAGCACGTTCACACCAGTAATATGTTTGATTTTGATTTTTTTTTTGTTCAAGGAAGTGCTGATTTTAAAACTTCAATTCATCTGAAAAACATTATAATTATTACTGCTAAGAGTAGGAAGAATAAGGAAAGTTAGGGCTAACTAAAGATATTAGTATCTATCTATTTAACACTATTAAGAAATTCTCCAAAGTAGATATAAGGAAAGTTAGGGCTAACTAAAGATATTAGTATTGTTATATTTAACACTGTTAACAAATTCTCCAAAATAGAAATAGGGAAACTTAGGGCTAACTAAAGATATTAGTATTATTATATTTAACACTGTTAACAAATTCTCCAAAATAGAAATAAGGAAAGTCAGAGCTAACTAAAGATATTAGTATTATTATATTTAACACTGTTAACGAAATATTTAAAGGATGAATAAGGAAAGTTAGAGCTACGTGAGGAGATTAATATCATTATATTTAACACTGTTAAGTCCTTCTCTGAGAAAAGAGTAAAAAGGTTCTACGTTAAAAGTTCAAAAGAAAGACACATAATTAAAAGCCGATAGTGAACTACCCATGACTTGATTAAAGCTTCTTTATGATGGTCTCAATAAACAAAATATTCGTTTCAACAATAACGATTCAAGAATTGTTATTCCTTTACGTATTTAAAGTAAAAACAGTGTTTGAGGTTTAATCAAATCACTGAAACGTTAACGTATTCTCTCTAACAGATTCGAGATCTCCAGTTTGACAATCTTAATCCTTTTGTCGGAGCGTGCGTAGATCCTCCAAATATCTGTATAATTACGGAGTACTGCTCACGAGGTAGTTTGAAGGTATGGTAACAATGATCGAGTAAGTTATAAATAAACATAAAAGACATATTTTTTATTATTTAATGTAATCGAATTTTTTATATAATGTATATAAATATATATATATGTGTGTATCTGGTTAGTGATACCTTTTTTCCTAAATAATTTATTTTCTTTTAACCCTGAAAGGTACTTTTCTAGATTCTGTGAAAGGAATCATACAGTTTCAGTCTCCATACTTTCAAAGATTAAAGTCAATTGTACCCTGCATCTATTACATTTATACCTTCGTCAAAGATATAAAATTTATGTATTTGTATGTCAAAATAATGTCAAATAAACGTACTTGATGATAATAAAAATAGCTAGAGAAATAACTATTTTAAACTCGTTAAAACATTTTAAAACACACTGAGAACGACGACTGCATCGATATATTTTTAGACAATAGGGAACAGTTTCTTGCATCAAACTGAAAGTAAAGACGAACCATTCCAGTTTTCAAACAATGTTTTAATCGAAGCGTGACTGTTCGAAGGATTATCGTCAAACGTGGCAAATATATTCCAGCTTTAAAAATGCATTCGAAACAGACTTTATTGGAAACACGTAATACTAAGGAACTATAATATTTTTTATCTTTACTCTGAATTTTCTTATATCGTTTTTTTTTTGCTATCGCACTGGATGTGTCCTGTTTTGTAGATATGTGAAATAGGTAGACGCAGTAGAAGAATCATAGTTGTAGACATGTGAAATAGGTAAACGCAGTACTGGATGTCCTGTTTTGTAGACATGTGAAATAGGTAGACGCAATACAAGAATCATAGTTGTAGACATGTGAAATAGGTAGACGCAGTACAAGAATCATAGTTGTAGACATCTGAAATAGGTAGACGCAGTAGAAGAAT